TCAAAGGCACATAAAAATGAAAAACATAAAAAAAAAAAAAAAAAAAAAAAAAAGTGCAATGGAGAGTTCAAGGCCAGCCTGGGCTACAAAGTGAGCTCAAGTCCACCCTCAACTACAAAGCAAGACCCTGCCTCAAAACAAACAAACCAACCAAAACCAAACAAAAAAACCCAAAAGAGAAAGAATAATTTAATCAGCCTAAATAAATTGCCTTTGTCAATTAAATTATATAGCAAGAATTTTCCAGAAATTTAATGCACAAATACACAACTTCAAATTTTTAATTTGTTTCTGGCCAAAGGTACATTTGAAGTAATAATAGCATTTTGTTAAAGGATAAATAAATCTTCAGGTAAAGTTTCATTTTAAAATCTTAACTTTTTCAGGTCCCTTTCAGTATATTAAATAAAGTACCTCTAAAAAAAAAGAAAAAAGTTCAACTCACCGCACATTTCTCCACTTTGTCAGCATTATTAGCCCACTTCACTAAAGCTAATAATCGAACGAAGAGTTGACGTGTCCGGCTAGCAAATTGTACTATTTCTATTTTCCTATAAAGCAATTTTTAGTGAAGCAACATATTAGAAAAAATATTTCACAATTTATTTCATTTGGGATTAAAAAAATCAATCCTCCTTTACAACTACAAAATGAATTTAAAAATATTTATCTAAATGTATTATCACACTTTATATATCATCTGCATATGCTTTATTTTTACCTGAAAAGTATGTTTTAGCAGTGAATCATATTGGTGGGGGGACTGGAGACCAAACTCATGATCTTGCGCTTGGGAGGCAGGTGCGGTGCCACTGAAGCTGACCCAGCGAATCATATTTTTAAGTTAATTTCATACTATAATTAGAAGTTGTTTATTAAAATACACTTAAATTCATGGATATATGACAGAAGTTACCTTGGTCAAAGAGGGGACCAAATTAGGAGTAATGAAATATGACTTTCATAACTGAAATTGGTAGGTAATTAATAAGACTTTTGGTAAGAGAAGGGTATTCAAATATATATTTTACCAAAATTTGACACTATATTTTTTCTACAAAAGCAAGGGTTCACTTCCCATCTTGCAAGAGCACAATTTTTTAAACTGTATAATTAAAGAATTTAATTGGGCAACTTTTTATCAAATGAGTTTCAGTGACAAACTTGAATACATTATCTCAGCCAAGTTAAGGAAAATATGATGAGCACTAAAAATAAAAGGTTTATCCATATCTATTTTTATGCTATACGCACTTCAATGTTTTTTCTTCCAATACTCATCAGTATTTTTACCATCTCATAAAGCCTTAAAAGCTTCACAAAAAGCTTTATGCTGTCAGTGTATTAGCTAGACCTCTCAACCTCATGGCAGCAACAAAACTGATAGATACCTTTCATGGTTTACTTTAAAACACTGGGGAAAAAAATTCAACTAACGACAAGACCTAGCAAAACACCAACCTCTCTGCAAGTGGACTCTGACCTTAATCAATATGGCTTTTCAATGACCTACAGACCCAACCCACATTTCTGCATCTCACCAGTACCACCACCATAAAGAAATGCACCAATTTTTTTGTTAAAGTTCAATCCCAAATGAGGGCTACAGGGTGGAGCTTTTTTTTTTCTCCAGTCCATAAACAACCTGAGTGGCTTAAAATCAGCCAACAATATGATAAGTGGTTCTACAAAGAGAAAATTCAAGGGCACAGTTAGGAGTCTTTACCAGTGTCTGTGACAGATTATGAGAAAAAAAGCAGAGCATCACAGGCAAGACAGGCACAGCAGAAGTATTGAACGAACATTAAATTCTGACAGGGATAGGGGTGTAGCTGGGTCATCGAGCACTTGCATAGCATGTGCTAGGCCCCAAGTTCCACCTCCCAGAAGGAGGGGAGATCTGGCAGCCTCCTTAGGGCAAGGAGTCACAGTATTGTCACTGACTGAGCAACAGATTTTTTTACAGGTTAGGACGTCTCTGCCCCACCTTTATATATCATTAATTTGGTTTTCTAAATATGTACCTCTACTAGAAATAGGATGATTTCTCTTTGTAAACTATTATAACAGAGTTTTCTCAAGAGATAGGATGCATGAGTCAGTTTTCTAAAGACCCAGTGTCCTTCCTATCCAAAGTGGAGAGAGCAAATCTGACTTATATTTCCTTTAAAATTGACCAGCCAACCCATAGCACAGGTAACCTTCAATTGCCTCTTCTGCCTCTCTTTTTGATCTATCAGAAAGTGGGCACTTGAGGTTGCCAGTGGATTGGAGCCATTAATAAATACTAAAAACCTCCCTAGTGACTTGGAATTAAAAGAAAATCAACAAAGAAGTATAAGTATTATCAAAGATACAGTCAGTAATCTGTACTATAGGCACAACTTAAATCACAATCAGGCCTGGTGCTGTGGCACCCACCTGTAATCCTAGATACGGACTGAGGCAAGAGGATTGCAAATTTTGAGGCCAGCCTAAGCAACGTGGTGACTTAGCAAGACCCTGTCTCAAAATAAAAAATTGAAAAATAAAAGGGCTAGGGATGTAGCTCTGTGCAAAGGCTCTGGGTTCAATCCCCATACCAAAATTTTTTTTAAATTCCCCATCATGTGATTCATTTGAAACCTTAATATATCCTATTCCTTAATCCTATGGGAACATACTAGTGTTAAATCATAAGCCCCAAACTTCAACTGAACCAAAATTTTCTCAGCTATAAAACAACAATAGCAGGAGGCAAATGTCAATTCTCTAAAGATATTCAACAGCATCTTACAAAGGGTAATTAGCAGCCACCTTTTTAAGTCAGTCTGCTTCTGAGCTTCTTTTATTATGGACCATATTTTCTACTATATCTTCCCACCTCAGGAACTTGAACTGGTCAGTCACTCAATAGAGATTTGCAGAATAGAAAATCTAAAACTGATCTCACACCCAAGTATAGCCAAGAATGAGAAAATTACACGTCCCAGTACTCCCTAAACACGTGGCCCTGTATCAGCAATGCCCACACACCCATACTCACAGATCAATAAAAACCAAAGAGACAGGTTTTTTCATACTCACCTTTCTACATCAGATTTCCTTGGCAATCTAAGAAGAAAAAAAATTGATTAAGCATATGCAGACTTTCATCAAAATGTGATAATGGTCTTTACTCTGACTCTATTAATACCTATTAATACTTCTATTAATACCCAGAGAAACTGAGTAAGCAGCGACCACAAGCTCATGTGGCTACACATTCTTTGTACTTTTGAGTTCCGAGCAATATGGTTGTAAGGAGAAAACCAACAAAGGAACATTTCTCTCAATCTCTCTCCATTCAAAATGCTTCAAAAGGTATACCAACCTAAACATTTTAAAAAGCCCAACTCTCTCATCAACATACTATGAATATCATAGAGAACCAAAATGATCATAGATACAGGAGTAATACTTTGTTGCTAGATTCCCTCTACCTAATGGGGAACTCTGGTTATAAGCAATAATCTCTCTCTGCTTTGTTGGAGTGGGCAAAACTAGAAGCTAAGCACAAGAACAGGCCAGTGCTGTTCAAGGGTCTTATGACGATGTTGCACAGTGGTTAGATGAAAATATTTGTTATTAGTTTGAAACAGCTGCAATAATGTTTTGACTTATTTTTGCTAGTGTTCCAGTCCTGACAGCCAGCAACTAATATCAACTTCTTCCCTGATAAATTAGACCTTTTACCACATTCATATCTACTGAAGCTTAGAAAGGTCCTAATCTGCCTCCTGAATTGCCACATTCTATTAACCCATGATCTTAGATTCAATATTCAATGGCCTGAACAACTCTCACCCTTGCCCTGTATCTGTCAGATCTTGAGGATACACTCAGCCCCTTGGATGCTCCCACACCCATGTTCCACAGGATCAGAAAAACTAAACCCACTTCCAAAGGTTCAAAGTACAAAGAGGGGAAACTATTAAAACGAGCCCTGGTTTCCTGCTATTTTCAAGAAAGACAGTGAGGTGGAAGCTCAAGCTATGATAAGAATGATAAAGAGAAGTAAGCAAGGGCTGAAAGGGCCAGAAAAGGGCTAAAGCAGAAATTAAGGCCTTATTAGAAGACTACAAAAGAAAGCAGCCACTGCTAAATTCCTCCACATGCAAAAGCACCTGAGAACACTCCTTAAGAAGCCATGGCCCTATCCTCAAGAGACAGAAAATGAGGTTAAGTTGCTTGTGAGGGTGGGGAGGGGGAAAGAGAGGATCCTTTGGGGGTACAAAGAACAGGAACAGCTGTTGCAGCTCCTCTCACCTGCCCTAGAGATCCTAAAAGGATGGTCTCATATTAGAAGCGCTACCACTTCAGGGACAAAGGACAGGCTTTTCTGCTTGCCTCCCCTTTACTCCCATGTCTTCTAACCTATTTTAAATTCCTAAATTCCACCATTTGGGGTAAAAGTCCTAAAATGCAAATGTTGGAAGAAGAAAGGCACAAAACTGTATTATGCTGAAGTCGGATGACAAGTTTACATGACTGAGATGCTAGCGTTTTCTGATTTTAACCATAAGAGGTTAGAGAGTAGAATTTATGTTCCTAAAAAGTCAAGGCAGAGAAAAAGCTTTAACATGTAAGCATATGTGTTGAGGGAAGGAGAGGGTAGAGAAGCAGAAGGAAAAAGCCACAAGTCTAGAGCCAAAACCAAACCACCTAAATTGCCAAGGCTGACCTCACCCTCAATAGTTCAAAGACAACAAGTGATGCAGAAATAAGTAACCAAGTCCTTAAAAGACTCTTATGAAGCATAATAAAACACTGGCTCTATATAACACATTAATCTCAACAGCTTCCACCTAGAACATGGGAACACACACTATTCAGGAACTTTCATGCTAAGTTCCTAGTTTTGGCTATCACAAATCAAAAATGAAAAGTTATACACCTTTGTATCAAGAGCGACAGGGCCAGGGATTTAGCTCGGTGGTTCTGCCACCTGCCTCGCAAACACAAAGACCGGAGTTCGATCCCCAGTACCCCCCCCCAAAAAAAAGAGCAACAGTGACTTATTCCATGGTTTACAATGACAATTCTAAATATTCACTCATTCATGTACTAAATCAATAAAATACTTAAGCCCAGAGTATGTACCAGGCATTGTTCTAAGCCTGGGGATAGCAGCAAACAGAAATCCTTATCCTCCTGGAGCTTACATTACAGCAGTGGGGGACAACGACAATCCACTAGTAACATCAAATGTCAGTAAGTCCTGTAGATAAAAATAAAGCACCAAGAAAGAGGATATCGTGAAGGGGCAGAGTACTGTTTTATGAGTGGTCCAAAAAAGTCTTTCTGCTGTTACATATGACTTAAGACACATACAAAAAGGAAGCAAACCCCACAGATTTCTGGAAGAACAAAAGCTCCAAGGTGGGAGTATGTCAGGACTATCAGGAAATATCACGAAGGCTAGTGCAGGCTGAACAGAATAAGCAAGAGTGTGAGGACATGAATTAAAGAGGCAAGGGGGAGAAAGTACAGATTATGTAGGACCTTAAAAATAAAATAACCACATATCCTGGTTTGCACAAGACAGTCTTGGGGGTTTTTTTGTGGGGTTTTTTTGTTTTTGGTTTTGGTTTTTTTGTTGTTGTTTTTTTGTTTTGGTTTTTTGAGACAGGGTATCACCATGTAGTTGAGACTGACCTGGAACTCACTATGTAGCCCAGGCTGGTCTCGAATTCACAGCGATCATCCTGCCTCAGCCTCCCGAGTGCTGGGATTCCAGGTGTGCGCCACCACGCCAGGCAAGACAGTCTTGGTTTTATGCTTGTTATTCAGACATTATCAACAGCACCTTTTTATGCTTAAAAGTTTCCTGGTTTGAACTGTAAATTGTATGTCCAATCTACATATAGGTGATTACACAAACTTTTTAATCTAAATGAGATGATGGAGAACCACTGGAGCATTCTGAGCACAGAAACTTTAAAACGATAATCCTGGCTATTTCATGGAGAAGAAAGCAGAGAGGAGCATGGGGGAGGGTAGCAGTAGTGATACCAATGAGTAGACTATAATGGGGTGGCTTGGACCACCAGTTGCGGGGAGAAGTGTTGAGAAAGATTCTGAAGTCAGAGATGACTAGACTTGCTGATGCAAACTGGGTGTGGGATGTGAAGAGAAGGAGCCAGCCAGGAATTACTCCAAAATAGTGTGAGCAACAACAGGAAGGATGAAGATAGTACTCACAGCGATAGAAAAGAAGGTTTTAAGGTGGAGGGGAGTTTAGCCTTGCTATGTTGAAATTTGATACTGAAATGTAGGCATGTGGACATGAGTGGAGTTCAGAGGTCTGTGCTGGAGACACATGCATGGGAATCATCCCCAGCCAAAGGGTGTGGAACTGTATGTACTTATTCTACAGCAATAAAACAGATGTTTCTCTCATCATAAACCAAGTCCTAAATAGTAAAAAGAATGCACTATAAATTCAAGAAATTTCTACAAATCCTGTACAGAAAAATAAACCACACAAGCACTGACAGCAACAGTCCTTGACACTTTTTCCCACAGCTATACATAGGCCAGGTGATCTTCACATACATGAAACTTTCTCATGAAAACAGACTTTTATGAAACGCAACAAAAGGTTCAGAAGTATATTATTACAATCGTTTCTAACCATGACAGCTATTTACATGCATCATTAGATAGGAGGAGGCTTTTTTAACTTCACCTGTTTCGGTCTCATTCAGTGAAGTATTGTACATCAAAACTGAGTGAGCATAATGCTTTGCGGGAGTAAGTGGAACTTTAATTATTTTAGTCATGTGCAAATAAATATTTTAAGTCTCTAGTAACAAATGACTGTGACATTGTACAACCTAAGATCTGCATACTAATGTATTTATTTCAAGTGAAAACTCTGAAGTGTTACAATGGATGAAAGATTAAAAACTAAATCAAAACGAATACGGGCTTATGTTTTGTCAACCTAGATTACAAGACGTAAAACTGAGCCTCAAAACTTTATGGCACTTTTTCTACACACACACACAATCCTTACAGTACATTCTGATCCTAGAATGAGGGGATTAACACCCTAATCATGACCCAAGGCATTTCACAGGTATCTAGGTGATTGAAATGACAGCAGGAAGATTACAGAAAATATTTTACGTTCACTAAATTCATGAAAACTTCATTCTCAAACGTTTCAAAAATACTTGGAATCTAAAATGTTGGTCTATTTTACACATTATCTCCTGCGTGCAAACAGAAGTAATTACTACCTACATTTCGAATATATTGTCAAGAGGCTGTAAAACGCATTCCCCGTCTTTGGGATTTTTTTTAAGTTTAAATCTTATGCCTTTCTAAACTCTCAACTCTAATTTTGGGTTTGGGGCTAAAATGCTTCCAGCCAACAAATTAGTAAGAGTTTTCTGCGGGGAACTTGAACAAAAATCCCAAAGACAATCTTCAACGAAAGTGCAACGACACGCGAAATCAGCAAGTCTCGGTTGCTTCATCGCCGGCAAGACCCCCCAATTCTAAGCTTCTCCTCCACCTCCCCGCACCCCAGGAGTTCCGAAATTCTAGACCAAGCAGCCCAGCGCAAAAAACGGCACCCTCTTAGGGAGAGAGAGGCGCAACCCTCTCTTAGCCGGCTGGGCGGGAAGGGGGGGCTGGGGAGCCGGCGTGGCTTTCGCGGCACTTACAGATCCGTCAAGACCATGAGCTCAGAGTAGGCCCGGTGCAGCAGAAATTCGATGAGAGTGCTCAGTCGGTAGCCAGGGCTGGCCGCAACCGCGGCGGCTGCCGCCACGGCGGCTCCAGCGG